ATGTAACAGGATTCCATTGGTAACAAGAGCAACTTCTTCAGGGTTCTTGATCCGTCCTGTTTTCCTTTATATGATATGGCATTTTAATTTTCTTATAACTGAGAAGAAGAATATTAATGGCCAAGTAGCCACTATGTTTGCCATCTATGTACACTACATAGTTAAAGATTGTAATTCGGAGGACAGACTAAAAATTAAAACCTAAGAACATCCCAACAATAGGTAAATCAGTTGGTCAGATTAAATGAAATTTACAAACTGAGTATCTTAAGTGTTAAATGTACAAGAACGAACAATGGGTGACAGTGATAAATAGAGCTACACTACAGGGAAGTATATATAGGACTTATGGTGACCCTGTGAATGAGCTATCTCCAACAGGTCCTGTTCTCAACAGACTTGCTCAGCTGTTGTAAACTCAATCATGTGGTTCCTTTAGGAAGCCAATACTGTACATCTCATCTTGGGTCTTCCTCTTTTTCCTACTGCCTTCAACCTTTCCCAGCATTATTGTCTTTCCCAGAGACTCCTGCTTTCTCACGATGTGCCCAAAGTAGGACGGCCTCGGTTTCAACATGTAGTTCAGCTGTGAAACTATATATGACGATCACAGGGTATCCTCCTCAGATCCTTCTAGAAAGTTTTAGAGTAGAAGAATTATGTATGTCACAGGACTACAACTCCCATCAGCCCTCACCATCATAGCTGAAGGGGATGGTGAAGGATGGCGGAAGTGGTAGTGCAACATTTGGCGAATCCATTGCTGTTATCCCTGATGGCATGAAATCACTACCCTTGATGTTCGCTCCATTAAGAATGCTCAACAGGTACCTGCATAAGCCAAGAGTGAGGGTTTATCTTTTCAAAAATGGAAGATCAACCCTTTCTTGCTATGCACATTCCTAGTTATTACCTCAACACAGAAGTTAAAACCATAACATAACCTACTAGAGCCTCTTTCAAATATCTCCAGAGCGAGTCGCCTTCCTAATTCCATCTCTTGGCACCTTGCAAACAATTCAGCTTGAGTATCAGCTCAGCCCCCTCCCCAAGTGTGCCTGATGAAGAGATCTAACGAACTTAAAAGTGTGCCCCTCCTCTCTTTTTTTTGCCCTTATATTTAGCCTAACAAATGAGTTTACACTAGTATGATGGGAGCATATCAGGTCTGTCACTTATACAGAACTTTTGCCAAGCCAGCCCACCCCACCCCACCCTGTTTCTGGCCCCATTTGTTGCTGGCAAGTTTTCAGCAACAGCATTGGTGAATGCAGTGTGTGCCAAGAGAGGGGTCAAGACTCATCTCTGATGGATTGTTAATCCTCTCACTAATCCATGGACTAAAACAGTCAAATCCAAAGTAACCCAATGGTTCCCCCTACTGGTACAATCCTTAAATAACAGTTCACCTTGTGTATTATTACAGCACTATTTTACTCCTGTTGCCTGAGTTGCCAATATCTTCCAGAAGGTATGCTTTAAAGTAGAGAAGAACAATCACCCATACTACAGTGTCATGCGATCCAATATGCACAAAGGCAGCAAGATAATATTATGATTAGTAGGCACAATCAGTGTCAACAATTATGCAACCAACAAGTTACAGTGGGTTGTAGCTCCATGGCATCCATGTTCAGGTGCTGACAGCTCCAGGTAGAAATGGAAGAGATGCTTCTCTGAAATCCAGAATAATCTGTTGCAGCCAATGGACTACCACTCCCCTTCAACATGCAACGTTTCATGAGAAGTGTGTCCCAAGAGATTTAGAGGCCACCAGCTTGCCTTTCTTTATTGGGAGACAATCCTGAGCTAGAGACACCAACAAATCTTGGCCTACCAGTTTCTTGTGTATATAACACAAAGCTTGGTATAAGTGAGGCATGGTGGGATGCTACAGCATGAGTTAGTGCGGGTGGAACTGGGGGGAGAGGAGCTCACTCACTGGAAACACTTTGCTTCCAACGGAAGAGATCGCCAGCCAGCCCAGGGTGTTGGGCTGGCTGGGGACAGGAAGAGCACCAGCAGGAAATCCATAGCGTAAAGGGTGCACCTCTTTTGTTTTGCCTTTTTTTTGCTCTGTACGAAGAAATCCTTGGTGGTATCATGTTGAACACTCATTCATTTTAAGTTCTTTTTGTGTGTGTCCAGATTTGGCATTTTACAGCCTCTGATACTGAAATGCCATCCCTCCAGATTCAAGGTACATAATTCAATCAGGGCTGGGTACAGTACACACAGCAAGCCATACACCAGAGCTACTTATTTTCTGCCCTGATCACAGGATGGAAGATAATTTATAGACTAGGAAGGGCAATTAATTATGTTGGGCAGAAATACAGTATTCAGCTACTGCTATGACTTTTACACTCTGCCCAAGTGAAAAGCTTTTTGCTTTTACAGTAAAGTCACAGAAGACAAATTCAAATAGCACTTTGCACCCACTCCAATGTAATGGAAATACGGGACAGTCATTTGTACAGCGTCTCTGTCAGAAACAGCAAAGGCAGAAGCTGACCACGTACTTATTTCTAGAGCAAATCCTGAGAAATGGTATGACCTCCATGGCAGTAGAGGAGAGGCTGTGTGGTCACGGAGCTCTAATTATATAGTCCAGTATTACATCTGCTATTTCAACATTTATTATAAGTGTGAATAGAGTACAGAGCCTTCCGCCTGTGTACACTTTTGTGTAGGAACAGAAGAAGCTGTTTTATACGGAATCAGTGGCTCATCTGGCTCTGTATTAGCAGCTCTCCAGAATGTCAGAGAAAGTTTCTTCCTAATCCTACCTGGAAATCTCTGGTCTTATCTGAGCATTAATGACTAACCACACTCAAGCTTCAGAAATCAGAAGAAACAGATGTGTTCAGGCTGCGTTAATCTAAGAGATAAGTACAGGGTCGAGTTAAGTGTGCCTGAATACAGCTCAGCATCGCGTTTTAATGGTGCCTCAACAATCACGTCTTTGAAACTCTAAGTTCGATCAGCAATGGAAATGCTACCCTCTAGTGGCAGAATATTGCACAGCAGGGTTGTAAACCAAAAAGTTCTCCCTTGCAAGCTACGGTAGAAGTATCACCTCCATTTTAAGCCCAGAAAATGCCCTTTCAGTCTATCAGGATCTTCCTGCAGATGGGTTTGTGGTCTAAAATGCCAGTTTTACACATACCTTCAAAAAGCATGTAGCATCTGATTAATACTGCCCCATACCGAGCTAATTGTTCCCCAGGTGTTCTAATCTTCAAAAGGTCCCAAGGAACTTTAAAGACCAAAAGTTTATCATAGCATGAGCTTTCATGGATGTAAACCTGTTTATTTATTAAAAATATTTTTATCCTGTCTTTCTCCTTAAAAGGACCCAAGGCAGCTTATTTCACTAAAAAGGCAATTTTAAAACCTAAAAACAGTAAGCATATAAATCTTAGTATAGGTCTTTAAGGTGCCACAGGACTCTTAGCCCGTTTTGAAGAAAAACAAACAAAACGAGCAAAGATCACTGTTTGGCCACTGACTACTTATTTCCTCCAGAACTGAATCATTGTGGCTCACTTATGAAGTAGGACTTCTAGGAGAACCCCATTTCTGTTTCGAAATAGAATTGTGCCACCAGCTGGTTCCTATCCATTTCCAACAGCCCTCGCTCCTCCAGAGCACATATAGCAAAGCAGAAGCCATAAGAACTCTGGTGCTTTCAAATTCACAACAATGAAACAAGCCAGATTCTGCACTCCCAAATGCTTGGTGGCATATTATAGGCTGCCTAATTTGCACTTTTAGCTTCATGTAGTCTCTTCGGTGTTGGAGGAGTAGTGTCCTTTGTCACCTACAGCCTTGTTTGCATCCAAATCTGATGCGGCCCACCCTCACCCACTCTGCCTCCAGCGGCCCCCAGGTAAATTGAGTTTGAGACCCCCGGTTTAACCCTATGGATATTAGTCTAACAACATGCAACAGCATTTATCTTCTCCAGATTTGACAGCCTTAGAAAGGAAAGGAAGTGAAGGCATGTTCTTAATGTCCTCTCAGTCGGCAAGGGCAAGGAGAATGGCAGGCTGGTTCCCATTTTCCAGTCTTGCATGTCGCTTCTCTCTTAACCTTGGAGCATGGAACCTGTGGCATTCCAGGTGTTCTTGAATTCCTGTCAGCCAGTCAGAACAGCCAATGACCAGGAAAACTGGAACTAAAGTCCCACAACTGGGAGAGCCACAGGTTCCCACGCCTAATATAGGTCAGAGATCTGTGAGACTTAACAGGCTTATTTGTATTGTAAGATGCCTAGACAACTTTAACCGTGTATCAGAAGTACAGTAGTGGCAAGTTGGGGGGTGGGGTTTACTTTTCCACCCAAAGCCAGGTACAGCAGCTAACTCAGAGTAAAAACTTGTTTCATCCCCATGTACCCTGTTTCAGGAGTCGTAAACACGTGTCCCCCACTCCAGCTGCAGAAGAGTTTGCAACTTCCATCATGCCTCACCACTGGCTGAAGGTCTGATGGAAATGGGACGTGCCCAACAATATCCAAAAGGCTACAAGTTCCTCTGCAGGTCCTCCTGCAGGAGTGTCCATCTGCCTCCACAGTGGTTCCTCGCTTGATGATAATCTGTTCTGTTCAAATCCGTTAAGCGAAATCGTCATCAAGCGAAAGTAAAAAAAACGATTGAAATGCATTGAAATGTGTTCCAATGGGTGAAATACCTCATTGTGCAGCAAAGATCCTCCATAGGGCGGCCATTTTCCAATGCCTGTAAAGTGAAGAATCCATCCTGAACACAGCGGGGAGCCATTTTGAAAACCCGACAATCAGCTGTTTTTTTATCGCCGTTAAGCGAAAAATCGGTTCCCGAAGCAGGGAATTGATCGTCGTCAAGCGGATTTTCCCCATTTAAACATCATTTTACTCATTGTAAAGCGGATTCATCATGGAGCGGGGTAATCATCAAGCAGGGCACCACTGTATTTATTTCGAAACACATTCAAGGAGTTATCACACAGTACCGTCGTGTTTATTTTAATCACCGCTTTTATTGAAACATAATCGCACGGATGCCCTACTCCAACTTACATTCAAGCTACTTCTAGGGATGACTCCTGGCAGGAAACTTTCGTAGCCCAGCTCTCCCCAAAGATCTCTTCCTTCTAGAGAACTACGTGGGGGGGAAATTCAGTAGGCACAATCCCTTCACATTCAAACCCGATTCCTTCAGGAGTGCAATGGCTGTGCCGAAGAGAACGCCTACTGCTGCTTGGCAAAGAAGACCTTGCTGTCTTTCACGTTGGGCTTGATGGTGTCGCCACCAGGTTGCCAGCCAGCTGGGCACACTGTCACAAGGGGGGGGGGAAGGGGAAGGGGAGAAAACAATGTTAGAGCAAGAAAAGATAAAAGGAGCAGGGGTGGGCGCATTATTTGGTTTGAAAGTCTCAAAATTACCAAGGAAGCAAACTTAGGGGAGCAAGTTCCCTAAAGCAGTGAAAGATTGCTTGGGCTGTATCAAATATTAGAAAAGGTCAGAACTGGCTATGAGGAGCAAGCTACGAGAAGAGCCTCAGCAAACGAAAAAGTCTCATATAGACTAAATACCTATACTGTACTAAGTCACAACTAGAGTATGTCCATTAAACCAGTGGGGATTTGGTGAGTCAGTTCCTCTGTAAGTTCCATTGATTCAATGGGTTTATTTCAGATTTCACCTCTTAAGGTACCAACAGGTGCTGACATTAAGGGGCCGAAGGAAGAAGCTGAGTTGGTGTAAAAAGCTCACTGGGCCATCAGAAAAGGCTGTAGGGGAAAAATAAAAATAAAAAAGCAAGAAGATAGGCCAAAGCTGGAGTTTCCTACATTTATGTCCCAAGAGGCTTCTGTACTTTAAGGAGCTACATAAAAATATAATTCTGGGTGGATCTTGTGCATACACACAGAGAAGAGTTTTGCAACACAATGCAAGCCTCCTCCGGTAGAATAACAAAATTCTTCTGTGCATTTTGCTCAACAAAAAGGAAAAGAAGCTGGATTTCATTCAACAGGGGCGGCACAAGGAGAGGCCGACCCTGGTCTAGGCTGCTCCAGGGGGGCCATGCTTGTGAAACAGATGGCAAGTGGTGGTTCCTGGTAAGTACTGCCTGCCCACCTGCTACGCATCTCCCACTCTGGGGAAAGAGTACATTGGATCAGACAGATCATAGCTCCGGTTTCGTTAAGACGAATTTCAGAGTATTCTTGCACAGAGTGTTCAGTGGTCCTTTTCACAGAATGTTTTACACAATGATTTGCATTCTCTGCTTCGTTTTGTCCAAACTAGAGACTTCCAACAGGATTTATTCACTCTGCTCAACCTATATTGATCCAAATCTTTAATTATATTTATTATTTCTCTACATGCTCCTACTAGATTCACAATATAAAGACTGCTGCACCAGCTTTATAGTCTGTTCATGTTCATCCCTGAAGACCACTTCAGAAGATAGCAGGAGGAACAAAACGGCACTAAACTCTGCTATACAGGGCTCTAGGCAGAGGAGGATGATAGTGGGCTTGGGGCCAAAATCAGCTGTTCTCCAATCCTGTGAACTGCACCAGGCTCAGAAATAGTTGAGAATGGCGTCTAAATAACAAACAGGAAGTTCCCAGACAGGTACTTCCTGTTTCTTTAGGGGCGAGGTGGGTGTTGCAAGATATCCCCCAGCCCCCCCGCTCCCAACACGCTCCTGAGGCAAAACTCTGCACTTCTGAAGGCCCTGAAGAGCAGAAAGACATCTTTTTGGCATGAAAAACTTGGGAGGAGTTTTGGGAGGGGCTCTGGGATGGTCTTGGGTGGGCGAGGCTGTAAATGGCCTCTAGGCATGACATGCGGCCTGCATGATTTGCACCCCTGCTCTAGACAAAACAACTTGCTAAAAGTGTGTTCAGGAAGCGTTACGTATGATAGAAGGCAGCCTCAAAAGCAAGATGGGTGATTTGTGGCTCTCCAGAGATGACTGAACTGCAGCTTCTGTCAGTCCGAGTCAGGAGCTGCAGATCAACAAAACTTGAAGGGATGCAAATCCTTCGCCCTTGCTTTAAAGTACGATCCTGCGCTACCCAGGGGTATGGGTCCTCCTGCCTTTGCTCCAGGAAGAAGGCCAGGGCGCAGTGGAGCTACTGCAGTTCTACCATGCCTGGAGCAATATTGACCCTCTCTGCTTCCTTCGCCCCGTTTCCCATGGCAACCCTCCTTACCTTCGCCATGCTGGTCTGTAAACTGGAAGGCCTGCACCAAGCGCAGGGTCTCATCCACAGAACGCCCCACAGGTAGGTCATTCATAGTAATCTGCCGGAGGATGCCTTTGTCATCAATTATGAACAGGCCTCTGAAGGGAAGAAAGACAATGGTTTTTTGTTTGTTTGTTTGTTTGGCTCCAGTGTGTTATTACGGGGCTTGCTCTGGTTTTTTTTTTTTTGGTTTTGACAATTTTTTCCCCAGGCCCCAACGCGTTCCTATGGGGCTTGCATCGTTTTTTGGTTTCTGGCAATTCCGCCCCCCCCGGCCCTAACACATTCCAATGGGGCTTGCATTTTGTGTGTGTGTGTGTGTTTTTTTTCCTGCCCCCGATGTGTTCTGTTGGGACTTGCATTGTTTTTTTAAGGTTTTGTTATTCCCTCCCCCGGCCCTGACACGTTCTAATGGGGCTTGCAGTGGGGTGTTGTGTTTTTTAAAAGCAATCCCCCCCAGCCAGAACGAATTCATTGTGTTGTGTTTTTTAAAAGCAATCCCCCCCCAGCCAGAACGAATTCATTGCGCTCCAATGCATTCCAATGGGAAATGGTTCTTCAACTTACGACCATCACTCCGGAACGGAATAACTTCGTAAGTCAAGACACCACTGTATAACTAAATATGTTAAGTCACAGGCCCTTCAAAAGACTCATCTCTGATTCAAGTTGAAGAAGAGGTAGCCATGTTCTTCTGTGCCAGCATTATAGGTAAAAACAAAATAAAAGTAAAATTTTTTTTAAAAAAATAAAAGAACAAATAAAAAAGACAAAAAGTGATGGCCTCTTAAAAAACAATGGCTATTATTTTTTAATGTGAGCTTTTTATAAAGAAAAAAATTAATCAAATAATTAAAGAAATGAATAATCCCTTTACAGCCAATATGCTGGAAAGAGTATAGGAAAACATTAAGTCCATTGGTCTCCCCACTGAGTCAGGTGGTAGTTAAGGAATTTCCTGGAGTCTGGAGAAAATATTAACTGGAAAGGAAATTATAAAAATTAAAAAATGGGTAAAGATGCACAACAGGGAGCAAATAAAAGTTACATTAAAAGGAGAGGGGATTTCTTGATTAAATATACTAAAATTGGATAAAAGAATGGAAAGCTCATCAAGGAGAGGGAAGAACGTTGATGAAATGTGAGGAAATAATAGAAAAGAGAAATTCAAAGCCTGCAGAAGGGGTACTATAAATATAAGATACAAGATATGACAAAAGCAGAAGATACAACAATAGCGTTAAAATAAGTATGGCAAGAAGATTTAGGTAAAGAAATCAAGGTGATAAGATTGGAATAGAATATGGAATAGAAGAATGATGAAAAATATATAGATAAGGATTAAAGAAGATTGTTATAAAGTTACATGGACATGGCACTTAATGCCTGTAAAAATGAATTTATAAAATGAAACAGTATCAGGGTTGTAAAAAAGAGAGGACATATTTACATATGTGGTGGTCTTGTGAAAAGAGAAAAAAGGAGTGTATTTGCGAAGGCTTTCACGGCCGGGATCTAATGGTTGTTGTGGGTTTTTCGGGCTCTTTGGCCATGTTCTGAAGGTTGTTCTTCCTAACGTTTCACCAGTGCTACTCCTGTCCTCTGAAGATGCCGGCCAAAGAGACTGGTGAAACGTTAGGAAGAAACAACCTTCAGAACATGGCCAAAGAGCCCGAAAAACCCACAACAACCAGAAAAAAGGAGTGTTCACACATTTTTAGAGACAAATGACATACTGGGTAAGGATGTAACAAAATTGTTGTTATGGTGACTGTAGCAAGCTTAATTATTGCAAAGAATTGGAAATACAATAGTCTACTTAACATGGAAGATTGCTATAAAGAAATGTGTGATGTGGCTATCAATGATAAACTAACTTGTGAACTTAAAATAAGAAAAAGAATATTGAGTACCACTGACTCTGAAGACATTATGGACCCATTTTGTTACAAGTATTTGAGAAAGGGAAAGGTTTTTATTCCCGGTGAAGACTTATTGTATTTTTGGAGGGAAATAGGGCAATGACACAATATGTAAAAATAAGCAAGTAAACAATAATATAATTTGATAAATAAAAAGATGAACAGTCCCAAGTGGCGAGGGGAGCTCAAGGTTATATAAGTATGTGTCATTCTTTCCCCCCTTCTTGTTTTAATGTAACTGTCTTATACTTTGGTTACATCTAGTTTATTTTGTTTGTTATAACTTTAAAAATAAAATTAAAAAATATGAGCTTTCTGGACAAGTCCACTTCTTATGTCTGACAAAGGGGACTCATCCACAAAAGCTCACATTAAAAAATAATGGCAGTTAGTCTTTAAGGTGCCACCATGTATTTGTCTTTTTTATTTGTTCTTTTATTTTTTAAATTATTTTCTACTTCTATTTTGTTTTTATCCATCATCTCTCATTCAGGTTATCCCTTACCCTCCCCATACCTGTATGCAATGCCCTCGTCTTCTTTGAGCACTCCAAAATCCCTGGAAATATTGTGGCTGATGTCTGCCACAAGTGGGATATTTGTAGAACCCAAGCCCCCTTCCTTTCTTGGTGTATTGATCCTGCAAAGAAAGTTCAATTAGTATCTGCAGTGTTTTTGCCATCTAGACAAGAGGTCCCCAACCCACAGT